AGCTGCCACATCCTGTCCTCTGCCCTAGCAAGAGTTTTGCTGCCTGCTGCTGTAGGTCATTGTCTTCTCCTCGCCTGGCTAACTGATTCCATCTCTCCCTCGCTCCCCGTCTTGGCTACTGCTACACTTCTGGAGCGCTTTTTGCCCATCTGCCAGGGTCTGCATTCCCCTGACTTTGAACCTGCAGTATCTCCTCTTGGCCCATGAGATGATATCCAGAATCCTGTGAGTGACACAGCAGGGCCCGCTGTGACCTGGACCAGCATGCCCCCCAGCCTCTGTTCCCACCCCTCCCCCCACATCCCCTGTACAGCCAGGGCTCCAGTCACCTGTGAGTGCTTGTTAGCAGGTGGGGGAGGTGGGCTGGGGCACCAGGGGCACAACTGCCACTTACTAGTTGTGTGATCCTTCACCTCCATTAGAAAGTGAAATCATGTGGAAAGAGAACGTAGAAGAACGTGTTGGAGAGATACCAGGGACCAAGCAAAGGAACTCTGGGAGCACACAGCGCTAGAGGAGCCAAAATGACAATGGAGTTGGGGTCCTGCTTATAAGCTCTTAAGCTTTGGACCTGTTACTTCCATAGGCTTCCTTTTTCTCAGTGTGAAGTGGGGACAGTGCAGTAACTAATAACTTTGTAGCATCACTTGAGAATTGAGAGTTCTTGCCTATAAATGGTTGAAACAGTGCCTAGCACTTGGCAGGTACTGAGCAGTGAACAGTAGCAGCACCAACTCGTAGATCAAGCAGTTCAACAGAAGGTGGAAGGCAGAGGTCAAAATCTTGACCTCACACCCATGGTGATGGGATGCTGTTCCTTTTTCTCCTGAAGTGCACTCCACCCCACTGACACAGCCCTTTGCTTATAAGAAACCCACCCTTCTTGGGCCTCTTGGGCTTACTGTCCTCCATGAAGCTTTTCCTAAGCCGCCGCCCGGAAACACAGTTGATCATATGGCGCCTTATAGGAAGGACAAGACCGCCACCTCCCTGTACTTCACTTCCTTGTCAGTCCATCTTTGATTAAGTGTGCTCCTTCTAGAAGGCTCACTGTCATTACCATTTTATCCAGGAAAACTTGATGCCTTGTATAGGGCTTTACTGCTTGAGGATGCTAATCGGATGCAACTAAAAAATAAACAGTATCTCTGAGATTTGGACATGTTTCTTGTTCTCTATGATGGAGCTAAGCCGCTAAACTTAATCCGTCATGGTGATAACAGCTCTTTTCCTCCCAGAGCTGATGAAGGGAAAAGCCAGTAATTTCTCAAGTGTGATAGATGTCCACCCTCTCACCTGGTATTTTATAAATATATTGTCTTAACTGTCTTTTTAAGTATCTGTGCCTGTGAGGGTGCCTTCCTCTGTTTTACAGAATGCCAAGTGATACCACTGTGATGTAGAAATAATGATAATTAGACAACAGCTTCAAATTACTTGACATCCAGATTGAAGGGAAAAGTGGTACTTTTTTTTTTTTTTCCATATAATACCCTAGAATTTAGATCAGAAATGGCATTCAGGAAAGCATATTGCTTCCTGTCAGACGTGGATGGCTCAGAGCTTCTTATATGTCAAGTAAGACACCACAGAATAGCCATGTGCCAAAGCATGTTGGGGCATCAGATCTGGGCCAGGCCATAAAGACTCTCCATCCTTTGTGATGATTTGTTTGAAAATATCAGAAATGGACTAGGAGCCAAAGAAGAGGGAAGTTGTTCTTATCTGAAACGCCACATAAAGTATTTAATAGTCATTAAATGACATCACTTCCTAACCTCTGGCCTCTTGTCACAAATGTTAAGAACCACGGTTTCCAGAATTTGGCTCCTCCTAATTTGGTCTGCTTTAATATTACCTCTTAAATTTTCGAGGAATTCTTCCTTTGTTGTGGCTCCTGGTGGGTGAATGTGAGACTATTTCTTCATTTAGTTGAAGGAACAGAAGATTAAGAATCAGAGAGGCTGGGTTTGATTTCCAGCCTTACCGCTTAATAGCCATACGGCCTTGGGCAACTATTTAACCTCCATTTTATTTCCTCCCTTGTAAAATAGGAGTAATTTCATCACAAGAACATCCTGGATGTACTAATTTACATCCATGTGCAAGTCATTGTTCTAAATAACTTACTGTCGGCATACCATTTATTAGATGAGGAAATTCAGGCCCAGAAAAGTTAGGTAATTCACCTCGAGTCACACAGCAAGTAAGTGATATGCACAAGGAAGAACATAAGATTATCCTCCGATCCAGAACTTGTTGAAGGTAAGCTGTGAGGAGGAGCACCAGTATTGACTGTTCTGGAGATGGCCCAGCAGCCCTCCCCAGGGTAGGAGGAAGTGGGGGTGACGGGGCAGGCTATAGTGTCCCCCTTCAAGTGCCCTTGGTCTCCCTACCCCCTTCCTCCTCTGCCCTCACATATCCCTGATTTTTAATTTTTCCATCAGTTTCCTTCAAATCCATTTCCTTCCCTTTCCACTGACCCCACTCTCCTCTGAACTCACCTGTTTGTATCTCAGCTCTTGTTATGATGCTGATATTTGTTTCCCCATTACCATTCGCTCATCCATCTCCCATTGGTGTGGTAGTAGCTCTCGGTCTTCTGGCTCTAACAATTCCCTGTTGGATCTATTTTCATCTGTGCCAGTCAGCCTTTATAGTGGAACTTCTCGGTTCAAAAACCTGCAACTCCTCGCTGTATATAAAAGTAAGGGCCACACACTTTAATAACTGGGGTCTTGTGGTGCTGTGGGTTGTGACAGATAACCAACTCAAACAAGTAAGAAATAAGGCAGACATGGAGGGTGAGTCCCTTGCTTCAGGCAGAGCTGAATTCATGGGTTTGGGTGTATTTTCAGAGTTCATTTTGAAGTATGTGAGAGCCCCCAGCAGCTCAAGGCTCACATCTTACCGAATGAACTCCTGAGCAGAAAGATGGTCTCTTCCCTGACGCCTCTGACGTAGCCGACCTGCTCATCCCGAGTCACTATGGCCTGGGATTGGGCCCAGTTAAATAGGTACAAGCCACAGATACCCATACTGCTTCCTGTTCAAACCTCCTCCATCTGGTTCTCTCCAGTGTTCTCAGCCCTCCTCCTGTGTGTAGGTCATTCACTTCCCATCTGCCTGATGTTACCTGCTCTATGCTTTAACAACTCTGCCTTGGCTTATGCTGGTCTCCCTTGATGTTCTTTCCTGCCATCTCTATTTATCAGAATTATCCCAGTTTCTCAAGGCCTAGCTGTAATGTTTTCTACAAAGCTTTTCCTTATCCCAAAATTGGTAAAAGCTATTTCTTTTCTGTATAGCATTCAGCTGGTTATTACTTACTGACTTTCACTGTTTCTCATCCCCATCTTCATCAGTGCTGGCCCTTTCTTCATCGCCCATACCTTTCTATAAGTCTTCATGTGCACAGAGCATTTGCACATTGATTTATCTAATGGAAAAGCCTGTAGAGTAAGCAGGCAAGATGCCTTTATCCTATTTTTGCAGCTCAGCATTGCTTGAACACCAGCTGAGCACCAAGGCTAGGTGTTGACATGAAAGACATTTTAAGGTGGTGACATCCAGATGCTTTATTCTGATTTTACAAATGAGGAAATTGAGGCCTAGTAAATAAGTGGCCAGGTGTCCCACTAACCATTGTTTTTAGCTACTGGAACATGCATGCTCTTTGCTACCTCTACACCTTCTGCCTGGAATATTCTTTCCACTTTCGCCTCTCCTAACCCTACTCCTCTTTAAAATGTCACTTATTTTAGGGAGGCTCCTATTGACCATCCCCCCCCATTCCACCACCACCACCCCCCCCATCTAAAATAGGTCTGCTATTCTCTCTCCCAGTACTTCTGTTTTTCTTCATAGTGGTCGTCACAATTATGTAATTATTTCACTTTTATAAATGCATTATCTCCCCACTAGACTGTGTACCCCATCAGGACAGGGACAATGACATCTTTAACTCTTCAGCAGTCAGTGCCTGACACCAAAGAGGCACTCAAGAAATAATGTGTTGAAGGAACAAATGCAAGTGTCAGCCATTCTCGCAGTTCAGCGAATGCCAGAGCAGTGTTAGAACCAGATGGCCTGGAGCCTAGATCAGCGTAACTCCGGCTCTTACCATGTCCTACAGTGTGTGCCCACAAGCAGCCTTCCCTACTCAGTTATGTGATCATCAAGACTAAGAACTATAGTTCTAGTTCTTTGTATGGGTTCCAAGGACATTATCACTGTTTGATATGTGGGTATTTAGGATATGGAGGATGGGTATGTGTTTAGATGGGTGGACAGAAGGGATAACAGACAGACTGACTTGCAAACAAGGTGCTGGGATGATCCACCAAGGGAGATCAGAAGAGGGGGATCAATGTGTGGAGGCATGGGGAAAATGAGGCTTGCGTATTAAGCACCTGCACTGATGTAAAGGTCCTAGAAGGCGGTAGTGGTTCTTTCTCTACATCAGCTGAGATACACAACTTTAACTTGTACCCTGGTTAAGATCTAAAAATAATACCCTATCCTGGAGTTCTTGGAATAAACCTTCCACTTTGGTGAGTCTGGAAGAGTTTTTGTTTTTATATTCCTATCACATTATATTGGAACACTTTCATTATACATGAAGGCAGCTTTTATTCTTACACCAGAGTGAGCAGCCTGTTACTATAGCAATATTGAAATTATTTATATACAGTGTCTTCTACACACTCCTTGCAAACTGTACATAGCGGTTAGAAGAAATGGGCTGTGATATCCAAAATTGTTTTCTCTCTTATTTCCTTTATTAAACGTCTGTGAACTTTGTTATAATTTAATTTTTAAAATTTGAACCCCTAATAGGAAAGATTAGGGGAGTTGTAAATATATCTGATCTATCAAACATTGAAAGTAGCTCTGAAATAACTTCGGTTTTGCTGTGAGTACCATACAGATATAATTGCTTCTTGAGATCTTTTTCAGAAAATGGGGTGCAATCATAGATGCCCTCTTTGTGTTTGCAGGGCCTGGACAGCTTCAAAGTAAAACAGAAATTCTTCTCAGAGAGCAAGGAGCCAGCGGCCGCCTTTCCTGTACCATTCGACCTGCCTCCAGAACTGTATGGAAGTAAAGGTAGGGCACACCTGGAGGGAGATCGTGGGTGTTATGTATGAAACAGAAACAGTGCCCAGAAGAAGGCATCAGTCTCTCAGTGGGAGATTGGCTCAGGGAATAGTTTGGAAATGCAGGTTTGCGGAGGCCCCTTCGCTGACCTGTCTGGGGCCACTACAGTTATCGTTCTCAAACTGGTTGGTTCAGGAAACCCTCTGCACTCTTATCATTAAGGACCACAAGGAGCTTTTACTTACATGGGTTTTTATATCTGTTGAGAGTACTATATTAGAACTCAAAACCAAGAATTTTTTATATTAGTTTTTAAAAATAATAAACCTATTATATATATATATATATATTTTTTTTTTTTTTTTTAACTATTTCCAGAAAAAGGTGAGGAAGGTGGCGTTATTTACAATTTTTGTAGGCAGGCCTCTTTACTATCTGGGTTAATGAAAGACTGCTGAATTATCATAGCTGCTCTGTTGCAATATCCTGTCACAAAGCCTCTGTACACTCGCAAGAAGTGAAGATGACAAATAATGGCTTCATATCTTGATGAAAATAATTTTGACTTCACAGATACCTCCCATCCTCTTAAAGGGGAGATCGCCAGGCTGCCCTAGACTATGACTTTCTTAAAGGCAGTGACCAAGTATTTTTCATAATAGAAAGTCGTTGGAACATTGGTTCAGGTTCATGTTTTTGGAAGAAAGCTGGCCAGCATGAGTGGGACCAGCTCCATCCCAGGTCTGACCCAGCCCCACAGGCTGCACTTGTCTTAGCCCTAGAATATCTGTCTTTAAAGCAAGTTCACACTTCCCAGACTCACACAGGAGCAGATGTATAATCAGGACATGCTTATTAATTTAAAATGGCAAAAGGTCCTATTACAACCAGCATTATTTTCCCCTGGAAGGTAGATGCCTACACAGATAGCCAGATTATAGTCAATGATTTTTGAGTAAATTCTGAATCTGAACAGGGAAAATTTGGTTTTTGTTTGGAAAGTTTTAATGACATCACTCCATTAATATTCCAAAATCTCTGATTCCCTAACAGAGTCAGCCCTGCCCACTGGGTCCCTTTCTTCCCTGGACAGTGTTAGATGGGTTCTAGGTACTTCCTCACCCTCACTTGTCCTTTCTGGTTTTGGTGGTAAACCAGATCTTCCCCTTCCAGTGGACCTGTTTCTTCGATAGTATTAACTTTGTCAGATGTGTCCATATAGTCTCATGCTGTCTAGGGTGCAGCTGCCTCTGGTAGGTGACTTTCTAGAGCTATAATCAGTCATATTGATAGCAAGTTTCAGAAGGTGTTCTTTTTTCCTTCTTTCCAATTTATGTATATTGAGTCCTCTAAATTTGTTGTATATTTATGCATCTTCATTTTTCACTAGCAAGATTATATCAGTTTTATCAGAATTTCAGGGAATCTGTCTCCTCCCCACCCCCCCCCCACCCCCCCCACCCCCACACACAAGTGAAAAATAGTGCTTTAGAACTAGGCTGTGTTTGTGCCAACCTTGCAACCTAAGTGACCTTGGGCAGTTATTTGCTTTCTCTAGGCCTTAGTGTCTCTATTTGTAAAGTGGGAAAATAAGAGTGCCTACTTCATAGAGTTTGTTGAAAAAAGTAACCAAGATGTTATCTGTAAAGTACCTAACACAGTCTCTAGTGCAGAGTTAGCAGTCACTAAACATTAGCTGTTGTTTCTGTTATTTAGAATATCCAGTTCAGTTCCTGGTGTGTAATAATGGACCAGTGTTCATTTTCTCCCCTTCCCCTTGCTGAGCGGAGGATGAAAAGAGCCTAAGGCCCATGTAGGACAGTCCCTAAACCCACCCAGCGTCACAGGACCTGATGGTGAAAACCTCTCCTTCCACCTTCCAGCTTTATGCTGTACCTTTGTTTTTTCTCCTACTGTCTGTTCGTATTCCTTTCTTTTTCTTTTTTTCTTTCCTCCTTAAACCTGAGTTCTGAATAAGCTTAGTAGAGGTGGGGACGGAGGACCATGGACTGACTGAGTTTGACTTCCTGTGGTCTGGCCTTGGGCTCTGTACTTTCCACCCCCAGCCCAGGACCTTGGCTGGAATTCCACCTCCTCCACTTAATCCTAATCTCCAAAGGACTTTGAAAGCAAGAATGAAAGAGATAGAGGAGCCTTAAAAATATGCTGAGGTCCCTTCAGTTTTGATAGAAAAAGCATTCTCAAGAATTTAAAAGTTTCCAACTGGGTAGTATCTTAGACTCTGTAACAATGAATCTTTTATTTGGCCAGTAAGCAGAATGTTTTCCATTGTTTAGCGAAGTTTTCTGGGTTTATACATTTCCTTTGAAAGATAGATACAAGAGAGACTGGAGCATTTTATTTTTTATTAGTACAGTTTTACCTTCCACACTGCTTCAGTAACATGCAGAATAATGTCACTCAGATATCACCAGTTCATATGTAGCTGGCATTCAAGGGAATCCTACGGACTAGAAGAAAGAAGTCTAAGATTTGGAAAAGTGAGTGATTAAGAACATTTCAAAAGCACTTTGTTTGAAAATGGTTTTCAAACCACTGTAACATGTATAAGATCTTGTTCGTTATTTTTTAAAATCTGAGGACTATACAGAAAGCTTAGCAAAGAAATACATTGCTGTGAACAAATTACAGTTTATTGAAAGATACCAGCAGACATCCCTGAAACCAAGAAATTGATCAAATAATAAAGCAAAACAGAGCTGCAGGTACACCTTGCTTTACACAGTACTTGCTGCTTATCTGTTCTCTCCACAGATGTATTACTAAGAACCTGCTGCGTGCAGACACTGTCTAGGTACTTGGAATATGTCTGTGAACAAGACAGACACAAATCCCTGGCCTTACGGAGCTGAAATTACTCTTCACCTGAAAAGTTATACCTAACCAAACTCATTTGACTAATAGGAGTTGTAGTTTTACAGGAAATCTTTAGGTCCTTTTGTAGTTCATAAGTGTGATGATTGGGTGTTCACGCCAGTGTGTGACACGCGCCTCCCTCAAACCTTGTTACGACCTCGGCACATTACCCGTCTGACGTTGAGGAAAGAAAATCTTTTATAAAGCAAAATCACCAACATTTTAAATCTTATTTCCATATGTCCCACTTGCTGTGTGACCCTGAGCCGGAAAAGAATAAAATAGACCAGTATGTGATCTCTCCTGAGCTATTATATGCCAGAGGCATCTGCTTCGTACTCCCTTTTTAGCTTACATTCTTTGTATTCTCTGATACACTATAAAGCGGGTAAACAAGGTAAGGTTAAGTAAAGCCTATCTTATTTGGACTTAATAAATTACATGTCAAATTTAAGAATAATTGAACATACAGAGCTTCAGAGACTTCAGTTATGTTAAATGATCTGGGTTGTTTTTTGGTGTTTTTTGTCTCCTTTTTTTTAAATACACATGGTAATATGTATACAGTTGGCCCTTGCACAATGCCGGGAGTAGAGACACTGACCCCCAGTGCAGTTGAAAATCTGCATATAACCTTTGACTCCCCAAAAACTTAACTACTAAGAGCCTACTGTTGACCAGAAGCCTTACTGATAACATAAACAGTCAACACATATTTTGTATGTTATATGTATTTTACACTGTATTCCCACAATAAAGTAAGCTAGAGAAAAGAAAATGAAAATTATAAGGAAGAGAAAATACACTTAAGTAATGTATGTATATTTATTGGGAAAAAAGCCCACGTGTGAGTGGACCTGTGCAGTTAAACTCACGTTGTTCAAGAGTCAACTGTAGTATTTTTTTTAATTTTTTGTCATAATTTCAGATTTAGAAAAAAGTTCTAAGTACAAAGAATTCCCATATTCTCTTCACCCAGGTTCTCCAAATGTGAATATTTTATAATATTTACATAATCCTTCTTTCTCGTGTTAACTTTTTTCTGATCCATTTGAAAGTTGTAAACATGATGTTTGCAATTTTTAAATACTTGAATATATATTTCTTAAAAACATTATCTTACATAGCCACAGTACAGTTACCCAAATCAGGAATTAACACTGATTGAATACTATCATCTATAGAATTTATTCAGATTTCATCTGTTGCCCCAGTAATGTCCTTTATAGCAAAAGGGAAGTTTCAGGTTACATGTCACATTTGTTCATCACTCTCTTTAGTCTCCATTAATGTGGAATAGTGCCACAAGATTTTTGTGCATTTCATGATACTGACACTTTGCTGAGCACAGGCCAGTTATTTTATAGACGGTGAGGGACATTGTATGTTTGGTTTGTCCATTGTTTTTTTTGTAAGTAGGTCCAGAGTGTGCACTTTTGCCAACACCACAGAAGAGATGTTGTTTTTCTTAGTGCATCATATAAGGAGTCACATGATAACAATCTGCCTGATTACTGATGAAGTCAGTATTGATCAATTGGTTAAGGTGGTATCTGCCAAGTTGTATCTTTTGCAGGTTTAGTATATTTTAGAATTTAAGTTTTAAATGTCTAGAACTAAGCTAATTAGCTGTATATGTAATTGCTCAGTAGGAGAGGTCATTAAAACCTACTTGGCACATGAGATACACCTGATCTAGATTTAGCATATATGTAGTGTATATAATCCTCTAAAGTGCTTTAAACCATTGGTTCCCAGATAATGTAACCATTCCCCCTACTGCTTGATTCATTTGAAATAATTCCTTGAATTTAGATAGTACAGGAATAAACAACTTCAGTCTAGACCTCTCATAATTATTGCTAAATAGTAGAGACTGATTCATAAAGTATCTATGTAAGGGAAACAAAGCTGATTTAACTTTCTAATCCAAAGAAAATGCAAAATAAGTAAGTCACTTAAAATCGTTGTTGATATGCTTAATTTTCAAGGACCTGTTTTTGAAAGATCTTTAGAAATGAGGATTTTTTTTTTTAATGAGAGAACCAGGAAAGGTTTTTAGACATGATTTTGATCATCTCCTTTAATAAAATCTTTCTGTTTCATAGTACAAACAGAAGCCTGACACAAACTTCCAGCTTAGCTTTTAAAATTACTTTGTAAACAGAAACGTTAAGGAAATCTGAAATTATCAAAGTAAAAAATAATTTTATCAGATGGTATTGAAATCAGTATTTGGTTTTTAGCAATTTGAATTATACTTCCTCCCACTGGATAGATTGTTCTCTTGTGCTTTTTTTAGTCACGGATTAATATGGGAGATCGTCACAGAATAGAGAGTTAATGGGTTTCAGATAACACTGGAATCACAATTACCAAAGATTGCATCTCTACTAGGTCAGTAACCCAGTGTAAAATATTTCGGAGCTTTCCTTTGTATTGCAAGCTGGCAAGTCTTTTATCCATTCGTTGATTTCAGAGTAGGCTAAGGTAAAGTGGCATCAGAAATCTTCTCATTAGTTCTTCTCTTTGGGATCACACACAGGCCATATACAAACATAGTCTGTGCCTGATACAAGGAAAGAATTAAAGGTGATTGCTCAGGTGACAGACAGTGGCTTCTATAGGTAGGATTCAAGTTCCCCTGAAGACAGTGGGAAATGTATGTATGGGTGTTTGGACATGGGGGTCGAGGCCTGTTTAACACAAGGGCCATTTCTTAGAGGATTAGAGCAAAGAGCTTATTTCCTGGATAAGTAGAATGGGATATTGTACTTGGGTTTGTCTGGCTGTTAAAAAACCTGGTGGACCTACACAGCATATGGAATAATGACAATCCTCACCCACTGTGAGTTGAGAGTAGTGGTCATTATAATATTATAGCAGCTAGCACTCATCAAGTACTTATTAGGTGCCAGGAACTGCTATGAGCACTTGACCTGAGTTTATTGAATCCTCACTACCCCCATGATACCACTACTAATATAACCCCTACTTTATAGACAAGGAACCTAAGCACTTGGGTCAACTTGGTCAGGGCCCCATGTCTGCCATGTCCATGACCCCTTTACCGTCGCACTGTGCCACCTCCCCACAGAGAGCTGAGTTCTGGAGTTAGAGATGTCAGGTGCACGCAGTCCTCAACTGACCGACCACAGGGACAGATGGAATAGACAGAGAGAAAACCCCTTGGTTGTCCCCTCATCCCCAGCCTTCCTGCCATGGCCTTAATGTTGGCCTCACTGTGTCTCACCTAGACTGCACTGCCTATTCATCTCCCTGGTGTTTGTCCCCTCCCAGTGGACATCATCTTCTCCCCTGCTGCCACGCACCTCTCATCTTGTCACACTCCTGTTTTAAATCCTTCCATTATATCACAGGAAAAAGCTCATCCCATTTAGCCTCTGATCTCAAACTCTGATTGTGTTAAGATCACCTTTAGAACTTGGTAAGAATGTGTAATGCCAGGCCCCAGCCCAGACGGATGGAAACACACTCCCTTGAGGTGAGCTCTGGGGAAATGCTCCGGCAATTCTCACATCAGCCAGGTTCGGGAACCACTGCGCTGACGGCGGTCAGGTTCAGAATTCTGGCACCACGGCCTGCTTGCTCGTCTGTCTGTCCCCCTGGACTGTAAACTGAGAGGACCCCCGCTTTGTCTAGCAGAGTACCTGGCATCTAACCAGCACTCGACAGATATTTCAGATATATGCAGGACTATTTCATGAGGAAAGTTTTTCTTTCATGGGACAATTTAGGAGGATTGCTTGAAATAGGCTTTCATCTAAGCCAGTAAGTGTGAATGCTGACTTCGGTAATGGTCAAAAGACAACAGAGTCACAACCACCTCTTACCCTCCTGTTAGCCTTTTTGCGTCTCTCTCCCCAGGTAGTGGTGAACCTTTCAGCCGGCATGGCAAATGGTCAGCCCGCAGGCAGAGACATTTGCTCATTTATTGAGCAGTGTGTCCAGGGATTTGCCAGCGGATAGTCACCTTACTTGGTCATTGTTGGCTAATTGTGAGGGAGAGGAATAAATGCAGTGGTGGTCTCGAAGATGCTGCCTCAGTGAAGAGTCTAATAGCTACTGCCATAGCAAGGATCGGGGTGTCCTTTGCCTTGGGGATGAAGTAGAGCTGATGTTACCCAATGGAGCAGTCTGCAAGAAAAGATGGGAGAAGTCCAGCCACAGAAGGCCATGTCCCCCGTGGAAGAGAGCCAGTGGTTTGCTCAGGCCAGTGGGGAGCTGTGGGGGTTCTCCAGCACTGCCAAACCTTCAGCCTTTGGTGAAGTGTGTCACACAGGCCCTGGATTATGGCTCTCTCTCAGGCTTAACAAGCTTGCTTCAGGCTCTCACACCATCTCAACGCCGAAGACAAGAGAACAGGGTTCTGATGACTTGTTGCCATCTTCGGCCTTCTTTCCCCATACATCTGCTGGGCCTGCTGTTTGCATGCTGGTGCAGCCATTATTCAGCACCGTGAGGTGTGAGGAGAGCCTCCCTTTGTTTGCCAGGCCGTCCTCCGAGCTGCACTCTGTCTCTATTCAGGAAGAGGAGAAAGCTTCCCCGAGAGCGCATCGGCGGTGCTGGGCGGCTGTTTCTGCCGATGGTGCCGCGTGGCCGCCTTACTGTAAGCATTCACCCCTTCAGAGTTGTAGCTCTCCTCCTCTTCGGGCCAGTTATGTGGGGATTGATTCTTAACCCTAGCAACCTATTTACACCCTACCCCTACTATTATGGTTCTTTAGAATTGGTTTGATTCTAGCAGTAGTTATGCATGATAAAAGTGATTTGTTCTGATTTTTTTCAATTTCTGAAACCCCAGTTAAAAGGGGGGAAAGTTCATGGTTATTGAGCACCTGCAACATGCCAGGAACTTCCACAGGTGTTTTCTCAGTTATGTTTCACAATCCTCCTGAGAGGTTGCTTATGTAGCTAATTCCCATTTCACAGCTGAGGAACCCGAGGCCAAGATCCCAGTGTTTTCCCGAGTTTGCAGAGAAGGATAAGGGCAGGACCTGAACCTAGGTCTTTAGTGTTCTCTCCCTTGTATCCTACCAAGGCATGTTGCTTGCTTCACCATCGGTCTACAGTCATTATACAGAGACCTTCATGCCTCATCAATTATTAGCCTTAAGGAACAGAACAAAACCATTTCGTGGAGGTGGCCCCAGGCCTCTCGATTATATGTGACCATGACCCGCTGAGAGCAGTGTGCCATCTGTTACTGTTGGTTTCTCCAGCGTTGTAAAAGATAATAGCTGCCCTTTGTGAGGTTCTCTCTCTGCGGGATGCTCTCGGACACTACGTGCGTTTATCTCACTTCCCCTCCTGACCGCACCACAGTCAGGTACACAGAAGGACACTGAGGCTGACAGAGGCGAAGTGACTGGTCAATATAAGCAGCAAGCCAGAATGTACACCCTGGTTTCTGCTGGCCTGCTTCCAGGTTCACTTGCCTGTTTCTTAGCATGAACTTTTGCCAGTAGCCACTGTCTGAAATGGGCTGTTGTCTGGGGTTGGTTCAGAAAGGGTTCTTAAGGGGGTGGCTGAGTGGTGCAGTTGGTTAAGTGTCTGACTCTTGGTTTTGGCTCGGGTTGTGATCTCAGGGTCGGGATATTGAGCCCCGCATTGGGCTCTGGGCTCGGCACGGAGTCAGCTTGAGATTCATTCTCCCTCTGCCCTCCACCCCCATGTGTGCTCACAGGCACTCACTCTCATAAATCTTTAAAAAGAGGAGAGGGGTTCTTAAAAATGTGTAAACGTGGTGGTTTTATCCTATCAGGTAAACACATGGGTGGTTTTATCCTATCAGGTAAGTGAATTTTTTGTAATCCTGTTCAAATAAGTATTATACATATATAATGTGGTTTGTTTGTTTTTTCCCCAGATCGGCCATGGATTTGGAACATTCCTTATACCAAAGCACCAGATACACATGGGAATATGTGGGTTCCCTCCTGAGAATCTTAAAGCACTCTGAAATTTAGGTTTAAGACCTCAAGCCCCAAATAATAGATGTTCTAATTTGTACTGGATGTTCACCCTTAAAGTTTTATCTACACCCCTAACAAAACTCTGCATAGCTCACTCTTGTGAACATGTATGCTGGTTATACTTTCAATGGTCATTAACAGTGTCACTAAAAAAATCTATTTTCTTAATTCACTTTTTTAAGCTTTGGAATGAAAGCTATCAAACTCGACAATGTTGAGTATAGACAAAGTCATCCTCAAAGTGATATATGGAATTTCATGATGGTGTTCGCGCTTCCGATGTGAAGATTGACTATGTGTGTTGTATTCCTTCCATCCTGAAAGGTGCTCTTCATTCAATAAAACTTGTCAGGGGAAGAATGTGATCATTTGATTATCACCCAGCCCTCCACTTTCTGAGTGTTGTCTTGGGGTTGCTGGCCCTGAGTCTGCAGATGTTCCTGGCCTCTGTCACGGAGGTCAGTGTGACTACCCTTCAGATGCACCGAGTCCTACTGCCTTTCATCGTCCTACAGCTTCATGAGGCTTTTCATCCTGGCGCCATGCTGGCTGCCTCTGCTTACAGATGTGTCCTGCCATTTCCTCACCCATTCCCTGGAACAGATGGGTGTCTTTCATCCCCCTGCCCCCAAGTTTCCAGAAAAGACTGCTCACAGAACCATATAAAATCACAAGTATCTTACTTGCAAGGAACCCTGAAAGGTAACCTTATTTGGTGCCTTCAGTTCACAAGCAAGGGAACGGAGACCCAGAAAGGTTTAGGATGTCCCCCACATCACAGCTGGTTTGGGTCAAAGTTGTGAATGTCTTCGCTTTATGTACGTATGTCCTTCATACTTAGGAATCACGTTCTCCTATGAGGATTTAGACCTCCTTTTCTACATGAGGCTGATTTCCAGTTTGTCTCCAGACTCTTTATCTTACAACTTTGAAGAGTGTTGAATACTAATTTTGAAAGATTTCTGAAGATAGCTTTTTGGACTGTTCTTCAGGCCTACAATTTTCACCTTAGGACCTGGCAGGGCAGAGCGGGGGTGCTGTTGTAGAAAAGTCTGGGAAGACAGCTGCAGACCCTCCACCCTTCTCCTGTCACAAACTCCGCTTTACCTATTCTATATTTTGGAATTCTGTAAAGGGTATTGTCTGGGATTATGTGTGTGTGTGTGTATGCATGCTCACGCTGCTTTAAAAGTTGAAAAGCCACTGAATTATTCATCTTACCTGTGTAGTGAGCTGCTTAAACTAAGGCTTAGACCTTTCATGACCCTGCCTTCTACTTCCCAGAACATGCAAACCCTCTATCACATGAGCCAGGAAGGCAGTGGGAAGGCGTCCGGGGCTGGCCCAGAGTGCGTGCCCGGCAGTCTGTGTGTCCAAAGGCCTGGCAGGGGACCCGGGATTCTCCCCAGCATGGTGGTCCCATCCTGGGTGGGGGTGGGGCAGCACCAAGGAAGTGTCTCACCAGTGTCACCACGACGGTGAGCAGTCTTCCTGCTCTGCAACAGGACTCAGAAAGCCTGGGCTCTGCAGGGTGGGTTCAGCCACTCGAGAGGACAGTGGCAGATCGACAGCAGTCCCTGGGCAGAGTAGGTCACACAGGTACGTTGTTCATCTGATCCACATCACTGCAGAGTGGGTTGGAGCTCAGAGCTGAAGTCAGACTGCCAAAGTTTGAATCCCAGCTCTGCCACTTAACGGCTGTGTGACTAGACCAGGTTATTTACCTTCTCTGTGCGTTGGTCCCCTCAACTGTAAAATGCGGGTGGTGGTGGTAATACTCCTCACAGAGGATGATGGAGAGTGGTGAGTGAATGCGTGAAGATACTCCAAGCCTGCACAGCATGAGAACCGTCCAGTGATTGTGCTTGCTGTTGCTACGGTTGACCCATTAGGATTATCCTCATTTTCCTGATAAGGAAATCGGGACTCAAAAAGGTGAAGTGATTATGCAAGGTCATACTTCCAGAAAGTGCTCTCACCAGTATTTGAACCCAGGTCTGGCAGCATCCACGGTTTGTTTCCTGCCAGGTGGCCCAAGCTCCCAGGCAGCATGGTATGTGACAGACAGTTTTTACTCCTCTGGTGTATTGTGGACACTTTTATAGAATACAGAATCAGGTGCTTGGATGTTACAGCACTGTCAGATTACAATGGAAGTTTCTAAATGCTTATTTTCTGTACTCCTCACAGACCAGTTCCGGTCCATGGGCCATACTTCCAAGTAACATTCCTCTACACCCAGTGGGGACCCAAAGGGGCCCATCAGGAAACAGACAAGTTCTGTAGAATGGGTGGCTAGGTACATCAAGGTAACATTAGGGGAAGCCCATGACCAAGGGTTATGCACGCTGGGTGTCCAGGCCCAACTGCTAACAGCAGCCTTCTGTGCCCCTTACCCTGGTCAGCATGGGCTGGGGGAAGGCAGGCCAGCACAGGGTCATAACATGAGCTTTCTGGGCATAGTTGATCGCACACGTGGAAAACAATGCCCCAAGAATAATCAACATGGGAACCCAAAAAGCAAGCAGTTCTGCCCCATCTGGTCCTTTTTTAAATGGAACTGAATTACCCAGAGTGCTACAAAAAAGCATCATCAAACGTGCCTGCTAATGCTTGAGGAAATTACTTCCATTATTCTAGGTTGGGGTTTAACAATTATTTCTCCCTGACTCGAGGAGCGCTCACCTCACCCTTTTGTCTGCAGGTAGCTGCCTGCCATCTTTTTATTTTTTATGTAGCGTTCCATGATTGTGTATAACACCCAGTGCTCCATGCAGTACGTGCCCTCTTTAATACCCATCACCAGGCTAAACCATCCCCCCACCCCCTCCCCTCTAGAACCCTCAGTTTGTTTCTCAGAGTCCACAGTCTGTCATGGTTTGTCTCCCCCTCCGAGTCCCCCCCCCCTTCATCTTTCCCTTCCTACTTTTTTTTTAAACATATAATGTATTATTTGTTTCAGAGGTACAGGTCTGTGATTCATCAGTCTTACACAATTCACAGCGCTCACCAGAGCACATACCCTCCCCAGTGTCCATCACCCAGCCACCCCACTGCTGCCTTTTATCCTTTTTTCCCCCACCACCTCTTCCTGCTTCAGATCTGGAAACACCAGCCAGTGACTGTGTACATGCTGAGGGTAAACATCCACATCACAATTCAACTTCCTGCCGCTTCATAAAGGTCTATTATAGGAGACTTACTAGCTGATTAAGGAGCGTCTCAGCATGCGGACAAAAGGAACTGCTGCCGTTTTGGGGAGTTTTCTCTTGATCTTTGGAAAGCTTACCTAACATTCTTTTACAGAGATGGACATGTAGCCAAAAGTCTGAATGAGATCTTCATACTAGATGAATCTCAGCAGAATATTCTGAATGAGAGTTTAAGAGTCCTAAAACATTTTAAGGCAGAAAATTGTCCGTCCCTACATGTAGCAACTTAAGTCACTTGCCGTTTTGGCAGGAGGATTCCGTGTCCCCTCCACCTCCCACATACTCTTACGAAGAGAGGAATGGGTCTTCCACCAGCTGCTTTTGTGGGGTGAAGGAGGGAGAGGTTTTTAAAAAAATTTTTTTAAGATTCATTTATTTTAGAGAGCGAGAGGGAGAGAGAAACAAGCAGAATCTGCCCTGAGCTCAGAGCCCGGCGCGGGGCTTGGTCTCACAAGCCTGAGATCACAACCTGAGCTGAGACCAAGAGTTGGGCACTTAACCCACTGTGCCAGCCAGGCACCCCTAAATTATTTTTTATCACATTCCTGAGAAAGGCTGCCTGGTTTTAACTATAGTTGGTACAAATCATCCTTAAAATTCACTGATTTGGGAGGCTGTATTTTTCCACATATTGTAATAGCCAATGTTTCCTGAGCTCTTTCTATGTCTTGACTCCTGTGCTTACATGCTTTACATTGAAGCCTCACATTAGCCTTCCATGAAATAATATCCATAAGGTTCCACGGTGGAGCCCAGCTTTGTTTTCCTGGATTCTTATGTAGAAGTTAAATAGTTCTCCTTAATAGAAGTTACATATGTGACTTCCAGCACATATGGTTTCTGTATCAGATTTGGTATGCTGAAAATAAGGACCTTAGATTCCATTTTGTCACAACTTTTTTCCACATAAAATTAGTTTACTTTCTAGGGAAATGACATATTAGTCCATTTTGAAACCATTTTTGGATGATCTGGATATTTGGTTCAAATCTTAGGACATTTTACTTCCTCCCTCGTAACTGAAAAATCAGAGCTGTAACCCCTTCCTTGAAAGTACTTGGTTTTGACTGCTGAATACCTCAAAGAAGAAGGTTAGATAGGCATTCTTTATTTACATTCATAAAATGTAGTAATTGTACTGATGAATGCTATTCATTATGATGAAAAAGTATGATGGCCAAAGTGCTGGAACTCAATGGCAGAAATAAAATAGCTTAAATATTATATAGGATTAAATCTAAAATTCTGTTGATAATGTGCTAACTACATGTATGCATGGATCCCACTATAACATTTTTGACAAATTTTCCAAGTTTAGTAGTTCACTTTTTTCAAGCAATATCCAGGCCAAAAAAAGTACTACAAACAAAACTACATTTTCTTACTGCATTTTTAGCAGCTAGTAAGTTACAGGTCTTAAGGGGTAATGTACAGCCATTTGCTCCTGGGAGAATGCTAGCAGTGCCCACAGCCAGAACCCAACATGGAGACAGGTGGCCACCTCTGAGCCCAGACCCTCCACTGGTCCCCGTAAGAACACTGACCAGCGAGTGCAGAGCACTTGGCGTGTGCCAGGTAATGTTTGTGTTTTCTGTGTATTAATGGACCAAATCATAATAGCCCAGTGCTATTCCCACAGCCATTTTACAGATGGGGAAACTAAGATTATTTGTCCA